AATAATGCAGAAGAGAACTAAATGTCTAGCAAATACGAAAATGAGAGAGTTCAATGCATAGATTTTTGATCGAGTATGCGTACACTACGTACTTTTGAGACGTGTGCTGTTATGCTCGATCATAATTTGTGTTCTATTAACAAGCAAAGCAGACGATGAGTCGTAGAACGAAAGTGATACTGCAATAATGCAGAAGCAGAACTGAATGAGTAACAAATACAAAAAATTACGTTTTCAGTAGATTACTAGTCATGTGCTTTGTATTCTGCTAAAAATATGTTTCACAGCTAGTTCGCGGGTGCAGTTAGCGTTTTTCGTTACACTCCCCTTATGCGACAAACCAAACCGGTGTAAGGAGCAATCCCATAAGCCACATAAACCATGCAATAACTCACTACATTCCGAGCGAGAATGTGAACTCATTCATTTATGATATGAGAACGATGGTTTTTGTTACTGAACAAAAACTGCCAAGACGCATTCAATCTAACGAATTGTGCGAGAGAATGACGAATCTTGCAAGTGTTCGAAAGGCACTTATACAACATCGTACCAAATCTGTCGCAAGCCTTATTAATGGCAATGTCTAGTGTCGTCCGGCTTGAGTGCTGTCGATGTAATCGATAAACTCAAACGTTGAGACAACGAAAAGTTTGCTCGTAGCGTGTGTAAAATCTCTACGTCAAACATATTGTCATTAGTGTTTGTCAATCAGTGCAGCGGTTTATACTAGATATAAATCTCGAGTCCTATCTTTGATAGGTTTTGTAACTGATGGCAACTTAAACGCTCATGAGTAGTGCTTACACAAATACGCGTAATGCACGAAATTGCTGTCAAAACTGCTATGTCCGAGGTACCGGAACGAGAGTGACGATTTGCGCCAGCATTCTTGCTGCGCATGGTTCAAACATAACAAAGCACGTGTTTTTGCCTAAAGCAGTAACAACTGCCATGTCCAAACGGACGAAACGAACGATTTGCGTGAGCATCTACGCTGCGCATGGTTCAAACACAGCAAAGCACGTGTATTTGAATATAACAGTAATAACTGCCATGTCCAAGCAGACGAAAAGAACGTTTTGCGTTAGCATCTACGCTGCGCATGGTTCAGAGACAGCAAAGCACGTGTCTTTGCCTAAAGCAGTAACAACTGCCATGTCCAAACGGACGAGANTGCCATGTCCAAACGGACGAGAGGAACGATTTGCGTTAGCAATTTTGCTGCGCATGGTTCAAAGCTAGTGAAGCACGTGTATTTGACTGTAGCAGTACACAACTGTTTTGTCCAAGCAGACGAAAAGAACGTTTTGCGTTAGCATCTACGCTGCGCATGGTTCAGAGACAGCAAAGCACGTGTCTTTGCCTAAAGCAGTAACAACTGCCATGTCCAAACGGACGAGANTGCCATGTCCAAACGGACGAGAGGAACGATTTGCGTTAGCAATTATGCTGCGCATGGTTCAAAGCTAGTGAAGCACGTGTATTTGACTGTAGCAGTAACAGCTGTCTTGTCCAAACGGACGAAAGAAACGATTTGCGTGAGCAATTTTGCTGCGCATGGTTTAAGCCAAGCAATAAGCACAGAGATGTTGAATCAGTGGAGACTGATAGAAATCACTTAAAGCAATGCTCACATCGTGTGGATCGGTGCGTTTTTAAACCCCGAACCGTTAGCACACTGTGTTGCAGTAGCACAAATATATTGCGCTACTCTATACGTTCGCGCCTTTAGGCCGATCGGCGAATAGCTCCCTGGTTGATCCTGCCAGTAGTCATATGCTTGTCTCAAAGATTAAGCCATGCATGTCTCAGTACAAGCCAAATTAAGGTGAAACCGCGAAAGGCTCATTAAATCAGTTA